GGACTGAGCGTTTGTAAGGAGAGGTGGGGAGATGACTCTCCCAGGGACTTCAGGATGGAGGAGAGAAATAGGCCATAGCTTAAGGTGTGGAGTAGGGAAGAGGGATTTTATTAGGCGATGGAGGCACTGAGTATATTTGTGGAAATGGGTGAAGTGATGGAAAAATTACAGATGTCAGCTGTTGTGGTGGGCAGACAACCAATGGCCTTCCGCCCACCCACACTAATGTACACATAGAGCACACTCCAGCCAGTAGCTCTCCAGTGCTTTGCTTCTTTGGACTCAGCCTTCCTCTGTCACTCCCTCTGGCCCCCTCTGGCCTTTGGGCCATCTGCTAGGAGGCAGGCTCTGGAGTGAGAGGGTCAGTGCAAAGACAGTGACCCTTCCATAGAGTGCAGAGAGAGCTGGTATCTTTGGGTCGTGGAGGATAGTGCAGGAGTCCCCAGGAGAGGAGCAAAGGGACTGTATAAGTGCAGGGGGCTCAGCTGATGGCACATGGCACAATTCCTAGAGGACTTGAGCAGTCTGAATCACCAGCAGGGGGAAGGCTTTGGGGTAGGGCAGGTCAACACCTCTATCTCAACCTACTGATGAACTTCTGCCCCTGGGGTCTGCACATACTGGTCACATTTTGTATAAAGAAGCCTGGTAAAGTGAGGCAGCTCTGCATTCTTTTTAATCTGATGGCTGTCGTCTCCTACCTCTTCTTTGTCATAGGGTTCAGCTAGCTTTTACCTTCATTTCTTCTTCTGTCTCATTGGGAGACTTATCCTTGGATATGAATCACAGATGGAGCTCTAAGAAAGAGTACTGGCCAGGTGTGGTGATGCACACCTGTAATCCCTGTGGCTCAGGGAGCTGAGGCAGGAGGATGACAAGTTCAAAGTCAGCCTCTGCCATTTAGTGAGGCCCTAAGTAAGCAACTTAGTGAGACCCTGACTCAAAAAAAAAAAAAAATACTTGGAGGATGTACCTCATTATGCGTTCAATCGCCAGTACTTCAAAAATAAAAAATAAAAAAATTTTAAAAAGGGAAAACAGGAATAAAGAAAAGAAAAAGAAAAACAGAATCCTGTTCCAGGGAAAGCAAAGAATCTGGGATTACTGGGCCAGACATGTACAGGAGGGACGGACCCTATGTCCAGAGGTTTTGTGGCCCTCCCAATATTTACACTTGACTTAAAATTAACCAGCATGCGTATGAGCATCCATTCTAAAAACAAAGACCTGAAGTATAGCCCACCACCCTGGGTCCACACTGTCCAGTGTCCTGGGAGACATGATGCCAGCTTCAGTTCCCAGCAGAGGACCTTCTCATTGGAACAGGGTGAGGAGTGCATGGTCCCAGCATTGGCTAGGTTCTAGGGAGGGTGGAAATGTATCTTATCTGTGCATTGCATGGGGGTGGGGAGCTGACAGATGTTAGGGTTTGAGTAATTATTGTGGAAAAGTAAGATTTTGGAGAAAGCCTCTTCTTCCAAACACCCCCAAATTATATACATTTCACCAGAGTTTTCACTTTGGGTCTATTTTTTTTCTATATTTCATTCAGCATGTGGGAAGTACTAATGATCTTGGACTACAGAGGAGGAAGCAAGCCAGCCGAAGCCAGAGTCACACAACTAATAAATAGAGAAACTGGGATTTGCAAGGGTCCCTGTCTAGAGGTGCGAGCTCTGCATTCTCCATGCTCAGTCACTTCCCCTTTCTAAGTGGAACTTTGCTTCCAATTGGTGGAGGGCAGCATGATGTCCTCATCAGAACTTCAACCTTCAGAAACTTTGTGTAAGACTCTGGCCAAACTTGTCAGTCATTCCTGAGTCTCCCGGCCTGCCCCAAAGGAAAGACTCAAATAAGCACCCACTCTTGTGCTCCTGGTCCCTGGGTTCTTGCTGTTCAAAGAAAGAGCTGCTCCCTCCCTGCTGATCCTGTGGCCACAGCACTGGGTTACAGTGTTTGGGATGCTGCCCTTCTGACAGGCCTTCTCAGAGGTCCAGGAACAGGACCGGCGGCTGGGTTTCCTGAGTGGCTCCACCATTATCATGAGGTTCTGCTCCTCTGCACAATAGTGGTGGGAGGGGTGGGGTCAGACTCCAGGGACAACTCTCGGATCCACAGGTCAAGCTGGCTTCCCAAGGGAACAGCTTCCTCTGACCAGCTCTCAAAGGGGAGGAATCCAAGGCCACCAACTGGAGTTATGGTGCAGGAAAGAGGATGCCACCATCACTGCTGGCACCCATTGTCACCAAGCATCTCTTAGCACCAATGAATCTGATGAAGACACTGTGACATTGTTGTAAAAGAAGCCATTGTCCTTCCCACTGCTCCTACCCCAAGTGTGTATGATCTTCCCGGGCAGCAGAAAACATCAAAATAGCAGGAAAATAGTTTCCTTCTGAATTCTACCTTCCAGATCTCACTAATTCATCTACTGGAAGAAAATAACTTGCATCTAGTCCCTTGGCTACAAGGGGGCCTGAGAAATGTGGCTTTAAATGTTCTGGCTACTGCAGTACAAGGAGTGTAGGATGAGGGATGAGTGCCCAACCCCATATTTATCATATATATATATGATAAATATGATATGGAGTGTGGGAAGGAGAGAGAGAGAAAAAAAGAAAGGGTAAGGGTGGGGGAGAGAGGGAGGGAGAGAAATTGATACTTACAATAAATAATCCAAAAATTTTCAGTTGGTTCTGACTTAATGTTTACTTAATGAAAAAAATTTAAATATGTGTGTTTGTGACAATCAGGATCACCATTTGCCTCACCATTCAAAAAATGAATTCTACCAGTATCATTGTTGAAAAGTTTGAAGGATTTCTCATTCATTAGGAGATATATGTATAGATATATTTTTAATAGAATGACTCATTCTTCTAATTTTTAAATTAGAAATAATACCAGTGCTGTTTAAAATCTGAAAGTAGAATCAAAATAGTTGCCTATAATACTTTGTCACCACCACAATAACCATTTCATTTTTCTTGTGCATATTTATATCTTTGTGAATGTAATGGCTATAGAATTTTGGTTTTGCTTTTTTCAAGCCTTAAATAATTTCCTATGTTATCATGAACAACCACAATATTTAATGGCTATCTAAGATTTCATTAATACTCATGTCATAATTTACCTAGCCAGTCTCCCCTGATTAAATAGTTTACTTCTAATTATTTACTACTATAAATAACGCTTTGATAAAGATCTTTACAAATATTAGGATTTTGATGTCACATTCCCAGAAGCAAGACAGGGAATTCAAACATACTAGTTAAAGGGCAGCTATTTTTAAAGGAGTGTCCACAGTTTCTGACCATGGCTTCTTACAAATCACCTTTGACAAAGCACAGACATTTTTCTTTAGCCATCACTAGACACCGTGAGCATGTTCTTACCTATCACTAAGGTATTCTACCTTAGCACTCATCATAGAACCTACTATGGGCAGTTACCAAAAATGGGAAAATTGTGCCCTTGATCCCGATGCCTGTTGACCTCTATTGATGCACACATCACTGTATATCAAATCCCTATGAGCTGCCTATAACACCATGACCTGGACCTTGGCAGGAACAGCATCTTCAGAGTTTCCTCCACCCTTGCATATCTCAATGTCCAGCCTTCCTAACCAGAAGCCTTGTCTAGATAAAGCAAGGAGGCCCTGGTGCTGCAGAAGCTGATCAACCCCAGTAGTTCTCATGCACATGTAGATGGATTTCTTGATTCCTTTTTTCCCAGATGGAGCAAAACAATATTAAGATAAAGCAGCCTTTATAGAAGCCAGTGAGATGACTTTTAAATTAAATTTAAGATTTGAATTTGTTATAGATGACAACAGAATGCATTACAATTCATATTACACATATAGAGCACAATTTTTCATACCTCTGGTTGTACACAAAGTAGAGTCATATCCTTTGTGTCTTCACACATGTACTTAGGATAATGATGACCATCATTTTCCAGAGTCTTTCCTACCCCTATGCCCCCTCCCTTCCCTTTTCCCCTTGCCCTATCTACAGTGTGAGATGACTTTTAAGAGTGAGGAAACCAGTCTTAAGACAGACAGGCAGACCCAGATTGCAAGATTTTACTCTCAGCCAGTTGGCACTCCTCCTGTGAAACCAGGTGTCTAAAGCCCTTCTTAATCCAAAGAAAATGTGGGGGTGACACCTAACCCAAAGGGCTCCATTCAGGTTACCAAAGTCTCAGTCAATCCAGAGAAGGGTAGACTTGGCCTACTCAGGAGAACAAGAGGTGTAACATACACAGCTCTTCATTGTATGTATTCAGTGAGAGAAACAATTTCAAATAAACGGGGTTCTTTCCAACAAAGTCAACTAGGAAGGGACCTTGAACTTTTAAACATGCTCCCTCTTAGTGTACCCACTGATATGGAGACCTGTCTTCAATTCTAGAACTCCCCCTCCCAATACCACTCCACATCCAACCACCATAACTGCTTCATAACTGACATTCCCAGCAACTCCCCGCCATCCTGCGTCTGGCCTTCGGAATGCCAAAGCTTCCTAAGTATTGCAGTTTGCAAAAACAGCTCTGGAGGCGGGTTCCCCCCCCTCCCCCAGACTCTGTTGCTGATCTCCCTCCATCTCTGGGCATATTCCCCTGAGGCCTGGTTGAGCCTCCTCAGGGTCCACTCCCCTACCCGCCCCTAGTAGACCCTTGGGCAGCACAACTTCCCAGGACACCCCAACGCCTGCTCTCGCCCCCGTCCGGTTGCTTGGAAATTTGCACTGGACAGTGACGTCACACAGGGAGGCGGTGCCCACTGCACGGCGCACCAATAGGTCGGCCGTGGCCGGCCTCTTCTTTTCCAGTGATTGGTGTCCCCGGCCCGTTGGCTCCACCCCAGCCCGCCATGGCGTCAGCCGCCTCAGCGCCGGGGAGGTGGTTCCCACTTTAAGAAGTGAAGTTTTCCGCCCCCTCCCCTTTCCTGCCCACCTCCTGCAGCCTCCCGCGGCGCGCGGGGCTGGCGGATGGAGTTACGCAGTGGCGGCGTGGGCAGCCAGCCTGTGGGGCGGAGGATGGATGGGGACAGCCGAGATGGCGGCGGCGGCTGCTGCAAGGACGCCGGGTCGGAGGACTATGAGAACCTGCCGACCAGCGCCTCCGTATCCACCCACATGACAGCCGGAGCGATGGCCGGGATCCTGGAGCATACGGTCATGTACCCGGTGGACTCGGTGAAGGTGAGGCGCCGTCAAACTTTAGGGACTCAGAGAGCAGAGGAGGAGCGCGCGCGCACGTTTGCATCCCGCGCATGACCAGCCTGGGGCAGCGCCCCGAAACCACGCTGTCGGCCGGGGCCAGGCTGGGGTCTCTCCCGGAGTGGGCACGCGCAACCCGAGCTCCGGGAGGCGCGCCGCCGCTCCTCCTGCGGGTCACCCGGGCACCGGGGGCGCCCACGATCCCGCCAGGGAGCCGCAGTCGGCGCCAGGCACCGCCACTCCCGCCGCGTGCCCGGCCCCACTGTGGCGGCGCTGAGGCCGGGTAGGACAAGTGGCGAGTGCCGCTGGCCTGGGTGGTGGCGGCGATGGGGCTCCAGGGAGGCGGGTGCTGCAGCCCTGCACTGTCTTACCGTGCCTGCGGTGCGCGGTGGCTGAGCCTGCCCTCACGTGCGCGGTTTCCGATCCTAAGAGCTCACGATTGGGAAGCTTTAACCACAACCACCGTAGCAGAAGAAACGTGGCCCCAGTCGGGCCGCGCGCCCGCTGGCCCCAGAGTGTGCCTGTTGCGCCCCAGCTGGTTTGGGGGACCAGCGGGTGGCAGGGGTTCTCTTGGTTGGTTCGTGGCAGCTCTTTGCGGGAGGGTACTGGTTCATTGACGCCCTGTGTGATCCCCCTGTGCCTCTTCCCCAGAGTTCTGGCAGTTGAGCAACTGGGAGGCAATGAGACCTGCAGTGACATTTGCCTTCTTTTGCTTGCTGGCAGGTGGGCAGATGAGGAGTGGGGGAAGAACTTGTTCTATGCATCCTGTACTGTGGATTGTGTCATGGGTGCCGAGTTTGACCTGGTCACTTCCCCGGGTGGTTTTATATGCATTTATTTGTAAGAAGGCAACTTCAACAGATTTGCCTGTTATCCTGAGAGCTGTCTGTCCAGGTAACTGAATGGCCAGGAGAGAGGTACAGCGAGTAATACTAGTGCTGACTCTTACACATTGCACTTTTAGAGGCATAGCTCATCTCATGTGTAAAGCAATTTTGGAAGTTAACACATGAAGCAATGCAGGCACAGAGAGATGAACTGGTTAGCTTTCCCTGACTCACAACCACAGAGTCCTCTGGTTGCAGCTCCAGTGTGTTTTGGGGAACTTGAGACCTTCTCAAGTGGGCAGGTATCTTTCAAGGCAGAGCACCCTCACCAGCACCTGTGCCCTGTAGTGGATGCTGGCCCTACAGGAGCAAGTTTGAAGACCAGAGGTCTAACTCAGGGTTTTCTCAAAGGTGGCAGTCAGTGGCTGGTCCTGCACTCATAGTAAGTAAGAGGCCTACATCCAGTGCACTGAGTGGTCTGAGTCATCAACCCTTCTGTCCCTCCAGTGTCCCAGTGGGGAATTGGAGGGACGACTTTTCCTGCCACTGTTACCAAGGGGATGGGGGAAGACCTTGTCTGTTAAATTTACCAAGATCTTCCAGGAAAGATTTAGGATAGATGCCAGCTGGCACTGGTGTGGAAAGAAACCCTCAAATGAAGTAAAACTTCCAGTATTTGAAACTGTAGTTTCAAGTACCTTGGGCAGAGTCTGGGGGAAATTAGGAGTGGGGAGGTGTAATCTGAGCAGGCTCCAGACCCACTGGTGTCTTGGAGACAAAAGCTCTGACAAAGGAATCCTGCCACCTTTTTTTGGCCCGTGATCTCTTTTGCCTTGAGTCAGTTCAGAGCTTCATTTTAGCGTATTTTGAGGGTTAGAAATAGTCATGCGCTTGAGCTCCATTTGACACTGGAGGCATCTGTCTCTGTTTGACTTATGTGGTCTGGGTTTGGTTCTCCCTGCTCCTTCTTCTGCCTGGAGACCTTAGTGTTTTGATTCAGACCTTGCCTGTGTTCCTGGCGCTGCTTTCCCAGCAGTTTCACTGGTGGATGGCTTAGCATGGTGTGTGTGGTAGGTGCTGTTCTGTCAGAGGCTGTCACTGTCTCTTGCTGTATAGGGCTTGTCATAAAGTAAGGTCTCCGGCTAGTGAGGTGGTAAAATCTTCTCATTATGGCTTTCTGACTTTGACTCCAGATAGTGACTCTAGGGACTCTGCTGTTCCTGAGCATGCAGGGTTGGTTGTAAAGAGTCTCTTGTTTTCCCCTGCAACTTTCTTGGGAAGGGTAGAAAGAATTCTTTTATTTATTAGTTTTTTGCAGAGACAAAAGGTACAGAGAGGTAAATGGCACAAGCAAAAGTGCATGATCTTAGGCAGGGTGGCAGCTGAGTGCCAGGGTCTAACCAGATCAGCACAAGGTGGCAGGGACATCTGTGATTCAGTGAGGGAAAAGCTTCACTTGGGAGACCCAGCTGCCTTTCTCTTAAATATTCTGGAGGATGGAAGACCATGAGTAATCGAGTCAGGAGACCTGTGTTGGACTGCCAGCCCAGCTTCCGACCTGTTTCTTGCCTTAGGTATGGTTCTGTGCCGTAGCTTTGTCATGGGTGCAGTGGGAGCTGTGGACAAGTTCAGCATTTGTGCCTCTTTGATTCATGACTGCTTTCTCTGGACACAAAGCGCCCGTTGTCCTTTAATGTTTTGAAATTTCAAAATAAATTATTAAACTGAAAGAATCAGTGCAAATTGTATTTTGGAAGGAAGAAAAGTTTTCCTTGAGTTTTGAAAGGCTTGTTTTTCCCCTTTAATTTTTTTTTTTTTTTTTGGTACCAGGGATTGAACCTAGGGGCACTCACTGAGCTACATCGCAGCCCTATTTTGTATTTTATTTAGAGACAGGGTCTCATGAGTTGCTTAGCACCTTGTCATTGCTGAGGCTGGCTTTGAACTCACTATCCTCCTGCCTCAGCCTCCCAAGCGGCTGGGATTATAGGTGTGCACTACTGCTCCTGGCTTCCCCTTTGATCTTGTCATTGTTAGATGAGTGTGTTAAGTAGGCCTGCTCTCTTCCATTTTTCTGTTCTTGGAAGTGTGGGTCGTGGAACCCAGCCCTCGTCCTGTTGAACCCTGAGTCTGCTGAGCTGCTTGGTTTTGTCCTAAGTGCAGAAAGGCAGCCTCACGAATGCTTAAGGTTTTGATATTAAAGTTGCTTTTTCGTGAGATCCCTCTCACCTCCCATTGTCACTTTAATGGCCCATGTTTTTGAAACTGTGGCTCAGTAGTGGGCTCAGCGTTTTTAAAAAAGAGTTTGGTGAGAGCACAAATACGAGCAGGCATGGCATGTAGTCAGAAATGCTGCCTGGTGAAATTCCATTTGGGCTGTGTGTGTGTCCCTGGCTGCAGTGTGAACTGCACTCCTGGCTGGGGGCTGTGGTCAGAAGCATGTGAGCCTCATGCTCCATAGTATCTCTGTGGCTCCCACAGTCAACAGCCTGGGATTGTGGTTATTTGGAAGACTTGAGGCAGTTTTCCTGCCCCTTCCTGTGTCTTCTCCTCCCTTGGTCCCCACACCAGATGGAGGACATGAGTACTCATTCATTTGTCAAGGGCCAGGCTGCTGGGCCCTTTGGCTGCCCCCAGGATTATAGCGGGCAGCAAAGGGATACCAAGACAGGGAGTGCAAGGTCTCTGTGGGTCACTTGCTCAGTGGTGGTCGTGACTCCCTCTCCAGCCGGGACTGAGCAGCAGGTTCTCCAGGAACTACTAACCGGTGTTCCAAAGTGGCAGTTGGTATGGTGGCCTCAACCAGCACTTGGGGTGGAAGTGAGAACCCCTGGCCTGGTCAGGAGTGCTCAAGTCTGTGGGGAGCATGCCAGGTGGGTGGAGGAGGAAATTCCAACCACATTAGGTACAGCGCTGTGGACCATGTGGAGTCTGCCTGGTGAAAGCAGGGGCAAAAGGAAACAGGAAAGATTGGAAACGGGGACTTCCCTGACCCTTTCACGGCTCTTCTGCTCAGCTCCTGGGGCGGCCCTGCCCTTTAACTCTCCTAGGATGACCCTCCCTCCAGGCAGGGTGTAGAGGGAGCGCGGCTGAGCTAACAACGTTCGCTCTGGTACTGGTGGCTGCCGAGAGACACTGGACTCCTCGGTGACCTCATGATGTCCACCGGGCTTGCTGAGCCGAGCTTGGGGCAGCACTGGAAGAGGCTGGTGCCAGGGCCCTCCCCGACTTGTGTGTTCTCTGCCTGAGGCCTCTGCAGTGCAGCAGGCTGACTGGTAGGAATCCCTGGGGTGCCAGCAGCTGTCAGAGCCCCCTCCCACCCACCTTTCCAAACAAAGTACAATCCAGGCGACACCATTCAACTTTAAGAGGGCGTGAAATCCCAAATTGCTCTAGTTCCCGGAACAAAATTATAGTGATTTCTCCGTTTCCCTTCCCTTGTCTTCTCTCCTCTGAATTCCTCTCCTCCTCTCTTTTCTGTCCTTCTTCACTGGAAAGTGTTTTTTTTAAAAGGTGAATTGGGAGGGTGACATGGAGTAAAAACAGGCAGTTTTGAATTCAGACGTAGCCCTTCTCTCCTGACTTCCCAGGTGCATGCAGTGCCCATCTTCAGCATGTGCACCCCATCCCAGAGTCGCCACTTGGCCTCCAAGTGTCCATTTCTTCTGCCCAGATGTGGGGGTGGCTCAGGCTGGGTGGGGCACGACAGTTGGAAGATGGTGTTCGGGACTAACAACGGAGGGGGCCTCAGCATTTTTTTTTTTAATTTAAATTTAATTTATTCTCTTAACTGATACACAAGCCTCAGCTTTTGAAAAGGAAATGGCATTCAGTGGAGAGATTTAATGGGTTATGTTGCTTAACTACATAGATAATGTGCCTAGGGATTGGGGACCTGTGTGGCATGGAAGGAAGGGGTATATTTCTTTTTTTTTTTTTGGTACTGGGTTTGAACCTAGGGACACTGAACCACTGAGCCATATCCTCAGCTATTATTATTTTTTATTTTGAGACAGGATCTTGCTAAGTTGCTGAGGACCTTGCTAAATTGATGAGTTTGACATCGCACTCATAGTTGATCCTCCTGCCTCAGTCTCCCCTGCTGCTGGGATTACAGATGTGTGCCACCGTGCCCGACCAGGAGGGGAGCATTTC